TTACATGATACTGTTTTCTTTCTATTAGAGCCAATGTTATTGTTTACTTAAAAATAAACTCAAAACTCACTGCCAGTGAGTCCATGCTGACTCATGGAGACCCTACAGGACAGGGTAGAACTGCCCCTGTGAGTTTCTGAGACGGTCACTCTTTACAGTGTAGAAAGCCTCATCTTTCTCCCAAGGAGTGGCTGGTGGTTTCCAACTGCTGGCCATGAGGTTAGCGGCCCCACAGGTCCCCACTATGCCCCAGGGCTCCTCACTTAGAAATACGTATGATGGTATTCTAGAAGATAAACACCATCACAGAGCGAGCGACGCTGTTACATTGCACTCTGTGCGGACCATCTTAACTTCATCACCTGTGCTGAGGAGGAGATTTTTTTCAGTCCCCAAAGCTCACTCCAGAAGTAAAGGGTTGGGAAAGGAGGGCTTGGCCGGCAAGGTCACCTTCAGCCTGTTCTTTCATTCCCTCGCTTGTATAGCTTTGGGAGATTTCACTCCATCTCCCCTCCGCTCTCATCTTTGCAAATCTCCAGGACTCTGATCTCTCCAGCCTTTGAATTGGCGGCTCAGCCCCAGCAGCCGAGCAGCACCCCCACCCCAACCCCCTGCTTCTGGTCTGTAAGAGCCAGGCGCTTAGTCCATTGTTGCTTTAGTAATCGCACTTGACAGCAGGGGCACATGCTTTCATTTCTCTAAGCATTTTCAGATCTGCTCTAGGGCTTCGTTGCCACGGCAATATTGTGGGGTCTCGGAGGGTGGCAAGGCTCCCCAAGCGGGTTTCCTGGAATGTGACGCCAGGGTGGACCCAAGTCCATCGGGAAACACTGGGCTCTTCAAAGCCAACCAGGCGCCCCAGGCCTTCAACTGTCACGGCAGTGGGATTCTGCAGCTGAATGAGTACCTCCAAAACAACCCAGCTCCTCTCCCCAATATAGGTTGTCTTTGCTAGAATATTCCAGACTTAGAGGTCGGGAAACATGGGTCACCTGCAGCCTGTTGTCTGAACTATGGCTCTGTGGACCCAGCTTGGCACACACTGCTGGGATGGAGGGAAGAGAGTGAGGTTCAAATCCAGAGACCCTCTGTGCTAGCCGGGTGACCTTGGGCCAGTCCCCTGACCTCCCTGCTCCCCACTTGGCCTGTCAAATGGAGGTGGTGACAGTGTGGCTAGGATCAGAGTGCTTAGCAAAATACCCAACGCGCTTCACCTTTTGTTATTATTCTCTTCCTTGGTATCTAAAAACCAAGCCAACTCCCTGCCACCGCGTCCATGCCAACTCAACGGGCACCCAGTAGCATAGGATGGAACCACCCCTGTGGGTTTCTGAGACTGGAGCTCTTGACAGGAGTAGAAAGCCCCATCTTTCTTCCTCGGAGCAGCTGGTGGTTTTGAACTGCTGATGTTAGCAGCCCAGCACAGAACCCACTAACCGCCAGGGCTCAACTCCTCTGTATTATCTGGAAGGAAAATGTGCCCCCTCCCCCCAGGTTCCTTGTCAACATGACCCAGCTGTTTCCCGAGTTGACTGCATATAAAACCCCGTGTTCCTGCCTCCCGGTTCTAGACTGGGTGGGGGAGGGGAGAGGGGGGAGGGAGGCTGCTGTTCTCCTGTAGCATCTTCCCTCCGTCCCTGACTCCCGCTCACCACCCTAGGGCTTCTGATTCCATCAGGGGGACAACAAGCCTCCAATATAAACAAGGAGCCCACCAAAACGCACACCCACTGCTATCGAGCCTGCCCGGGTGTCCAAGACTGTTACTCTTTACAGAAGTGCACAGCCTCCTCCTTCTCCCACAGCCAAGCTACGTACTCAGCAAACCGCTATCAGAATCTCAGATGTCCTACGCGCTGGAGCCCTTCCATGGCCTCCGCCTCAGCCTGGTCTTAGGACGGGGCTTTAAAGGACCTGGCCAGTGGGCTGACTTGGCCTCAACCCCCTTTCTCACCTGAGCCTGGACCTCACCTGGGACATGATTATTCTGTGCCTAGAACATGCTGCTCCGTGCCCATGAGGGGTGGGAGGAAGCGTCTGCATTCCTGCCTGAGCAGAACCCAAAGGGGCGCAAGCTCGAGAGGGGTGAGCTGGCTAGGGGGTTGAAGTGACTGTAGTGTAGCAGTTCTCAACCTGTGGGTCCTGACCCCCTGGATGTCGAACGACCCTTTCACAGGGGTCGCTTGATTCATCACAGTAGCAAAATGACAGTGATGAAGTAGCAACGAAAACAATGTTATGGTTGGGGGGGTCACCACCACATGAGGAGCTGTATGAAAAGGTTGCAGCATTAGGAAGGTTGAGAACCACTGGTCTAGAGGCCCATGCACAAGGCCGTGCACAAGGGTGGTAGCCCCCCCCCCTCAAAAAGCTTGATCACTATTGCCCCTGCCACTCTGTGATGGCCCCAGGGGCCCTGGCCGCAGCCCACTGCTCACCCTCCCTCCCTGCTTCCTTAGACCCACTGCTGAGGATGAGCGGCTGCGGGAAGAAGGCCCTGACCCTGCTGAGCAGCGTCTTTGCCGTCTGCGGCCTGGGTCTCCTGGGCATCGCGGTCAGCACCGACTACTGGCTGTACCTGGAGGAGGGCGTGGTCTTGCCACAGAACCAGAGCACGGAGATCAAGATGTCCCTGCACTCGGGCCTCTGGCGTGTCTGCTTCCTCGTTGGTAAGCCCCCCTAGTCCTGCGAGCCCCGCTTAGGAAGGATGCGCCTTTCAGGGACCGTACGCACACGCCCTGGGCAATGCTCTGTGCCCACCCAGCAGGGACCGAGACGTCACCCTGGACCAGGCACCCCTGGAGCAAGAAGGGAGCACGGTGCCCAGCACACGTTTGCTCGCTGACTCCTGGATCCCACAGGGTCCTCTCCCTGGCAGGCTGTTCCGTTCTGCGCATTAGGGAAGCGAAAACAAGAGAGGTTCAGCAAGCCCCCTCGCTCAGGCTCACCCACAGCCACTCCTTTCCAGATGGAAACCGCCTCGCTGTTTCTCTGCGGTGCACGCACAATGTGGCAGAGATGAGATGCAAAAGCAGGTGCTTCTAACTTTGCAAGAAGACTTGATCCCCAGTCCACTGGGATCTCCCACTGGCCCACCAGGGCTTGCAAGGGATCTATCCTTTATCCAGCTCTGGTCCAGAACCAGCTTGCATCTGAGCACCTCTATACCGGGGAGACTGGCCACAGCCTGGGCCATTGAGCCTCTCCCGTGGGTCCCTGTTGCCTGCGTGTGCACTGGGAGGAGTGGACACTTGGTTTTCCCAGTTCTGTCCTCCCAGCTTTATGATGAGGCTTTGGGGTGGGGGGAGGTGGAAAGTGAAGTTGGCCCCCACACAGCTCAGTCCACTGGGCCAGGGATAGGTGACAGGAAGAGAAGGGAATGTCCAGACCTGACCTCCCGGCCACTTGTTGAGTCTGCTTTGGGAGTGGCTGTCCACACTGACCTCCCCTCCCACTGCCCCCAGACTGTGAGACCTATATGGGTTTGCTTAAACCCACAGCAGCAGGTACCCAGGATCCAGGATTCCGCTCCATGACAGCTGAGCCAGGCTGACATTACCACTGGGCCACTTTCCCCAAAAAAGCAATGGGCAGCTGTTAGAGACTTGGGTGACCACTGGGAATGTCCAGCACTGACCTCTTTGTGCGTGACTCTTGGGTCCGTCTGTACAGAGGTGCTTGTCCAGGGAAGATTTTGGGTAGGGTGTGCTCCCAACCCCCTGGGGCTGGGACCCTCCTGGGGTTTTAGATCCTGTCCGTGTGCAAAAACAGAGAGGGAGCCGAGATGCTGTAGCATTCACAACCCCGGGCTGTGCTGACGTCACACCGTGCTCAGGAGGGATCCTGTTCTCTGCAGGTGAGGAGCGGGGCCGCTGCTTCACCATCGAGTACGTGATGCCCATGAACACCCAGTTGACATCCGAGTCCACCGTCAACGTCCTAAGTAGGTACCTTGGACTTCCCAGCTGGGCCATTAACTCGGCGGGAAGCACAACGGGGTGACTGGCTTGCTTCTCAAGAGCTAATGCCGTGGGCCCCCTTGGTAGTGCAGGCATGAGTCCCCTATGGCGATCCCCGGCTTGTTTGTGAAGGGGGAGGTGGGGGCGTTCAGTTCTGACCCTCAGAGTAAACTACTGTGCCCATAAATTTAAAAGAAAAAAAAAAAGCAAGTAGTCACCCACGGACCAGGGACAGTTTTCAGTGCAGATGGTGGCCACGTGCTTGGTCTTCTTTAACACATCACTATGGGAGGAGGAGCAAGAGGGGTGCCCGGGACCCTTCTAGATCCATGGCTGCTGTGTTGGTGGGCAGTGTAGACCCCCAAGGAGGGAACAGACATGACCTGACTGTGTTGGTATTTGAGGTTGGCATTTGAAGGGAGCCCAGCCTCAGGGAGGCGAGCCCTGCCTGCCCTGGGAGGTCTCAGGGGCCACCGCCAGGGGGAAGGACTCAGGCTTTGGTAGACCACTGCCAGCGGTGTCGCATGTCACCACGGACCCTCGCCTCGGCGAGGCCACAGGAAGCTGACTCCTTTGCTCCGCCCATTAGAGATGATCCGTTCCGCCACGCCGTTCCCGCTGGTGAGCCTGTTCTTCATGTTCATTGGCTTTATCCTGAGCAACATCGGGCACATCCGGCCCCACAGGACCATACTAGCCTTTGTCTCTGGCATCTTCTTTATCCTCTCGGGTGAGTTGTGGCTTTTCCTTGCATGCAGGCGGAACTTTTGACATCTGGCTCTGACACCGCTCTGCCGGGGGAGGCCCCCGGCGCTGGCAATCGGACAAGCTGAGTCAGTGACCCAGGCGAGAGGGGACTTCGGATACCCGCTGCCTGGTTGCTTGGGGCTCGCAGGGACTTGACAAGCTCACCCAGACGGTGGGGCGGAGCCGAGGTGGGGAGCCAGGCCCTTTTTCTGTTACCGACGTCTTGACTTTTGAGTCCACATCGATAAGGTGACTGAAGGGACAGTTTTTGAAGGGACGAGGTCTTCAAGCTCTTGCATGAGAGATCAATGCAAGCTGCCTGTGGAAGGAGGGCCCCTTTGCCTCCAGCCCTCAGATTGTCCTCAGGGAGGGCTCAGCATCCTAACTCTAAGTCACTGATAGCCACTGATTCACGACTCAGTAGTCTCTCTGGGCCCCTGAGGACACCGAGGCGGCATGTCCAAGAGGACAAGCAAGGCCGTGACCAAGACGGATCTTAAGTGCAGGTCCTTCCAACTCAGCGAGGGGCTGGGCGTTTGGATCCAAAATCAAGACTCCCACGGTGCCGTGCACTTCCCAGGCACGCTGCATGCTCTGAGCCCGCTCGGCCCCGCTCACAGAGACCTGCGTTTCTGGACTGACATGGGGTATACTTCGTCATTCATCCATGAGAGGTACCAGGCCTTGCCCCGTGCCCTGGGGTTGTCACCCACGAGAGGCTCGTGTGATAACAGCAGTGAGCCTTGAGGGAGCCACAAGCGGGGGTCGGGTGGGAAAGGCTCCTGGAGGGGAGGAGAGGAAGGAGAAGTGAGGCTCAGACCAGGCGCTGAGAGCAGGTGACAGCTTGGAGGACGGGCCAGGGGGAGAGAGAACGGACAGAATCCCTGCTCAGACAGCTGGAGTGAGGGGAGGAGGGTGGTGAGGGGACCCTTGGGGGGCATCTGAAGTCATCTGGTGGATTTGTGGGCTTTGTGAGAAGCCGTGGAAGGATTTGGGGCTGAGCAAAGGCATGACCAGCATTGCATTTTGGATGGTACATTCCAGAGAGTAGAGGGAGGGAAGCTAGACGGGAGCCAAGGACACTGGGGGGTTAAGAAGACAGGTGGCCCACCTTGCCAGGATGGCAGTGGGGTACGAAGCAATGAGTAGGTTCGAGTGACAACTGGGAAGTGGATGCGGCCACTTGCAGCGTTTAAGAGAGATGTTCGAAATGACTGCCAGTGTCTTCCCTGGGCTCTGCATGGGGGATACAGCGTTGAAGAAGCAGATTTGGGACAGAGAGCGAGAGTTCGGGGTGAGAAATGCTGAGTTTGAGCCAATCGGAATCTCTAATCCCTGAGAGCGAATCTTCTTTGTTCCTCCCTTCCATACATACATACATCTGACCTCTGTTTTCAATCCACCCACCCACCTCCCCACCTCCATGCATTAGCCCATTGATTGATTCATCCATTCACCTTTCTATCAATCTAACAAAGATTTATGGGGCACCTGCGATGCTCTCAGCCCAACCTCCCCCCGCCTCCCCACTCTCCCACATGGTGGTCTCTCCACCGAGTCTTAGAGGCGCACAGCCGGGGTTAAACCGGCTCTTCTTTTGCCCTTCCGTGCACATCACACCCGCCAAGGCTTTATTGTAGCTTCAAGGTCCCTGTCGCTTTTCAGCAGTGGGCGTGGGGACCAGAGGCAGCTGTTCTAGCGATAATGCAGGGAGTTCGTGTGGGGCAGCAGTGTGTCAAGCCTGCGATAAGTGGCGAGGGAGACTTGACTCACATTTCTTTTCTTCAGCACTCGCTTTTCAAGATGCCCCAGTTTCGTAAAATCATTTAAGCGGAATTAAACCTGAACAGCGCCAAACTGAGTACCTCGTTTTGTCCTGATTCAATGACAGTTACTAATTGGTAGCGCCCGATGCCTGCGGCAGTCCTTTGCACAATGGCAGGTAGCGTCTGCCCCCAGAGAGCTCCCCATGTGAGGCTCACCAGGCCCAGCTTCTGAAGAGGCGCCCCGGCGGTGGGGTGGTCATGTGTTGGGAGAAAGATGGGGCTTTCTACTCCTGCCAAGAGTTGCTGTCTCAGAAACCCACAGGGGCAGTTCCACCCTGTCCCAAAGGGTCGCTGTGAGTCGGAACCGACTGGATGGTGCTGAGTTGGGTGGTTGGGAGATTGTGTGGACGGAACTGCTGCCTAAAACCCTCCGTGCAGACAGATCCAGGTGCGTGACACAGAGGACCGAGTAAGGACGGGCAACAGTGGGGAAGTAAAGGCAACAGGATGCAGCTCTCAAGGGAGAAGTTAGGGGCGAGGGTGGCAAAGCCTCATCTCACATACTTCGCATGTGTCCTCGGGAGGGAGGAGGACTCATGCTTGGGAAAGCAGAGGGTCCTGAGACAGAAGCTCTCTCGGGAGACGAGTTGACACAGTGGCTGCCCCAATGGGTCGAGCATGGCCCCGCGTGTGCAGGGCGGGCAGTGTTTGGGTCTGTTGCCATGGGCTCACTACGAGTTGGAACTGACTCAACGGCCTTAGTCCCTACGGCAATGTCCCCTGAGATGAGATGGCTGCCACAATGGTGCCACCACCTACTGCCAGAGGGCCACTTCACGATCCTGGCTCCTCAACTAAGGGACCTGCCTTAGTCCTCAGCAGCAGCCATTTGTCAGCTCAGTGGCCTTGCCTGCCCTTGGTTCATGTGGACATCCCCTGATGAGTTTTCAAGGCAATGTCGGTAGGGTGCTCACCCCGGCCCAGACCAATGAATGGCAGGGCCCAGGATGGACCTCAGACACAGTCTATCTTAATGCCCCCCCCAAGTGATTCTAGTGGCAGCTGTGGGTAGAAGCACAGAGGGTGGTCATTACAGGGGGGGGGGTCTTATCTACTAGCCTCTGTTATCTGAACTAGTTGCCAAGGAGTTGGCCCCAACTCATGCCAAGTTCAACTCCTAGTGACCCCGACTCCTGGCCGCCCGAGTAGACCTGCACTCCAGAGGGTTTCAGTGGCTGATTTTTTGAGAAGTAGCTCCCCGGGCCCTGTCTTCTGAGGCACCTCTGGGTGGACTGGAACTGCCAAGCTCTCAGTTAGCAGCCCAGTGCCCGTTAGCTGTTTGGACCAGCCAGTCTACAAGTCGCTGATCTGCACGTGGTTGTCTTCAAGGGAGGAGGGCCCCCGGGCCTTGCTCAAACTCCCCAATGAGTGAGTCACTACAAGGCTGGTGGCACGATCCTGAACCAGAAGGGGAAGTAGGGCCACACGAGCAGCCCTCTCCCCTACCCCCACCCCGGCACCACAGCCTCTGCTGACTGAGCACCCCCTGCCCCCACCTCGTCTCCCCAGGCCTCTCCCTCGTGGTCGGGCTGGTGCTCTACATCTCCAGCATCAATGACGAGATGCTCAACAGGACCAAGGACGCAGAGACGTACTTCAACTACAAATATGGGTGGTCCTTTGCCTTCGCTGCCATCTCCTTCCTTTTAACCGAGGTAAGCCCCTTCCAGGGGTGCTGGGGCAGGCTGGGTGGGAGCAGGAGGAGGACACTGGACAAGGAAAAGGATCCTGCTGCCCTCTACTCCCCGGTCATCCCAGTAGGTCCCTCCACTGACCCCCTACTCCTCCCAGGTGCTCACTTCATTATCTGCATGCCTCCTTCATCCAGCAGGACCCCCTCTTACCTGTCCTCACCCCAGCAGGACCCCCTCTTACCTGTCCTCACCCCAGCAGGACCCCCTCTTACCTGTCCTCACCCCAGCAGGACCCTCCACTTACCTGTCCTCACCCCAGCAGGACCCCCTCTTACCTGGCCTGACATGGGGTATACTTCGTCATTCATCCATGAGAGGTACCAGGCCTTGCCCCGTGCCCTGGGGTTGTCACCCACGAGAGGCTCGTGTGATAACAGCAGTGAGCCTTGAGGGAGCCACAAGCGGGGGTCGGGTGGGAAAGGCTCCTGGAGGGGAGGAGAGGAAGGAGAAGTGAGGCTCAGACCAGGCGCTGAGAGCAGGTGACAGCTTGGAGGACGGGCCAGGGGGAGAGAGAACGGACAGAATCCCTGCTCAGACAGCTGGAGTGAGGGGAGGAGGGTGGTGAGGGGACCCTTGGGGGGCATCTGAAGTCATCTGGTGGATTTGTGGGCTTTGTGAGAAGCCGTGGAAGGATTTGGGGCTGAGCAAAGGCATGACCAGCATTGCATTTTGGATGGTACATTCCAGAGAGTAGAGGGAGGGAAGCTAGACGGGAGCCAAGGACACTGGGGGGTTAAGAAGACAGGTGGCCCACCTTGCCAGGATGGCAGTGGGGTACGAAGCAATGAGTAGGTTCGAGTGACAACTGGGAAGTGGATGCGGCCACTTGCAGCGTTTAAGAGAGATGTTC